TGCTTTACAGCAGATAATATCGCGCTCCTTATACTCGTGAAGAAAGGGAGACATTGTTTGTCCAAGATAATAGTTAGTAAGCAGGGCCAGATGGTGGTCTGGTTGTTAAGGCAGCTGGACCTCACATGGAAGTGGTCCGAGTCCAGGACCCAGTGATTTAAAAATCACTAGACGTGTGTGTGTTCATGCCCAAAGCCTCAAAAGGAGGGAAATGGAAGAGAAGGGATTACTTTCTTGCCAATATAAACAATATTGGCCACACCCTTCAGCAGTCCCCATGGGGGGTGGGATGCAAACACCTGAAACTGACCATGTGACAAGACAATCCCTCATGGAAGGTGCTTTCTCCCTCTCTCTCCCTCTCTCCCTCTCTTTCTCTCTCTTTTCTCTCCCTCTCCTATAACCACACACACTCTCTGGCAAAAATAATAAATAAATAGAAGTGGCCCGGCAGGTGGCATGATGGTTAAGGTGCTGGATCCCACATGGCCAACTTCACAGTTCCAAGCCTGAACCCAACAGCTTAAAAAACAACCCAGGAGAATGGAGGAGAAGAGATTGCAGTGGTGTGGCCATCCCCCGGGGGAATTTCTCACTTTCCCTCTCTCTGTCTCTTTCTCCAGTGAGCACATGCACTCTGTGGCAAACATCTAACAAAGAAAAAGAAAAAGAAAAAAACAGCAAGTAATGGGTCTGGGATTCGATCTAAGCAGCCTCATTTTCAAATCTGTTCTCTCTCTTTTTACTATTATTTTAACTGTGATAAAATACACATAACACAAAAGTTACCATCTCAACCCTGTTTAAGTGTACAGTCAGGGGAATTTGTTAAGCATCACCACCATCAATCTCCAAAACTCTTTCTCAGCTTGCAAAACTGAAACTCTGGGGCCAGGCAGTGGCACAGCAGTAAACATCACCAGACTTAGATGGGACAGGTTTTAAGTTCATGTCCTGGGACCTCCCTGAACACCCCAGGTGCATGCATGCCCACAAGCCAGACTGGTGGAGGCTGGGGTGGGAGGAAGACCTTGTGCATGCCTCTCTCTCACTTTCTCTCTTGCACTCTCTCAGAAGAAATAGACTTAAATAATAACAATAACTAAAACTCTGGTCCAGCAGGTGGTGTGATGGTTAAGCCACTGGATCCCTCCTGGCCTACTCTGCAGTTTGACAGCTTGAAAAACACGCTGGGTGCATGTGCATGCGTGCCCAAGATCCTGAGAGGAGAATGGAGAAGGGATGGAGAAGGGATTTGGCATGGCCCCTGGGGGATGATTTCTCACTCCACCCCCCACCACCCCGTTTTGTTGTTGTTGTTGTTTGGAGAGGTTTTTGCTATAGGGTGCGTGCGCTTGCCAGAAAGACAGAGAGACAGAAAGCGAGAAATCACCCCCCAGGGGGGATGGCCACCCCGCAATCCCTTCTCCTCCATTCTCCTCTCGGGATCTTGGGCACGCACGTACATGTGCCCAGAGTGAGTTTAAGCCACCGGGCCTGAGACTCGAACCGTTGTCGACCACATGGGAGTCCAGTGACATAGCCATTACGCTAATTTCTCTGTCTCTCTCTGGAGAGCACACATGCCCCATGATAAAACTTCTAAAACAACGACAACAGATTAAAACTGTGTACCCATTAAACATTAACTCCATTGTTTCCTCTCCTTGGTCTCTAATAGCCCCATTCTACTTTCTCTATGAATGAGACTAGCCTAGGCCCCTCATGTAAGTGGGAATCATACATATTTGCCTTTTTGTGATTGGTTTATTTCACTTAGCTTAATGTCCTCAAGCGTCATTGGTACATAGTACGTGTACTCTTTTAAAAATCTATTTTGAATCTATAATGTATTTATAAGCTTCCAAATGCAAAAAAAGTAGCAAAGGGCTTATGGGGAAAAGTTTCCTTCTCTCTCAGTCTCCCGACGCGTGGTTCTCCTTTGTACCATTCATTTTGGCACAAGCAAATGTACACTTTGATTTTCCTTACTGTTCTGTGTTCTGATCTATGCCTTGTTTTTTCCCTTTTCAGTCCACCCCCAGAGATCATTTCCTTATCAGTTCCGAAGATCTCCCTACCCTGTTTGTTCAGCTCTGCGGTGTTTCATTGTTACTTTACTTGACAAATCCTTATTGGTGGCTGGTTTAGACCCTGTGCTGTTAACCATGTTAAGGCACCTCTAATTGGGGCTGTGCCAATGTCACCACGGCCTCCATCTGTCACATGTCTTATTCATCGATTCATTCCAGGGATTCCTGTTTAGCGAGTATGATGTTCCTTGGTTCACAGAGGCCTCAGCCCTAAAGGAGGTCAGTCCAGTAAAGGAGTCCTACAAGAATGACAAGTTAAAACCATGCACTGGGGGCTCTCCACGGAAGGGATCAGAGTGAGGGCAATGAGAGTTGTCCCTGATCAGAGCAGTCTGTCCAGGGGACTTCCCTCTTTCCACCGCCAACTCTCTTTCTCCCATGAAATGGCATCCCATGCCTCCAGCTGCCTGAGTCAGAATCATCCCATCAGAAAGGAAAATCAGACCACATCACATCCTGCTTAAAACCTTTCAAGGATGGGACCCAGCAGATGGCATGGTAGTTAAGGTGCTGGACTCCCACAGGGCCGACTACAGTTCAAGTCCCAAACCTGGTGACCTGAAACTCATGCCAGGCATGTATGAATTTGTAAAGGAGAAGGAATTGTGGCATGGCCATCCCTCTAGGGGTGATTTTTCACTTCCTCTCTCTCCATCTCTCTCTGGCTCTCCACATGTGCCCTATAGCCAAAATCTCTCTAAAAACAAACAAAAAGAACAAGCTCTTCAAGAGTAGGGGCTAGCAAGGTGGTCAGGTGGTTAAGGCTCTGGATTCCCACATGGTTGACCACAGTTCAAGCCCCTGACCTGGTGCCTGTTAAAAATAAACAAACAGGGCCAGCCCATGGCATTATGATTAAGGTGGCTGGATTCCACATGGCCGACAGCAGGGTTCAAGCCCCAGTTTGAAAAATATGCCAAAAGCATGTATGTGCATGCCCAAAACAGAAAAGAAGGGACCGTACCCACAGAGGGGTGCTTTCTCCTCTTCTTTCTGTCCCTGGTGAGTGCATGTGTCTTCAAGCAAAATTTTAAATTTTAAATTAATTTATTAATTAAATTTTAAAATATTTTTATTAAGGAGCAGTACCTGTGAAGAAGCAGGGGTGGAAACAGGATGGCAGATGGAAAAGCAGAACTGCGACACAGGCCGAACCAAATCTCACCCAACCAGAAAGAGCTGCAGCGTTGCCCTGTGAAGTTATCCACACGGTGCAGAGCTGTCCAGGCCTCTGAATCCCCTCTTATTCAGCCACTGAAGTGGAGATTGATGGTGGTCCAGCAGGTGGTGTGATGGTTAAGCCACTGGATCCCTCCTGGCCTACTCTGCAGTTTGAGTCCCAGACCTGGCAGCTTGAAAAACACGCTGGGTGCATGTGCATGCGTGCCCAAGATCCGGAGAGGAGAATGGAGAAGAAGGAATTGGGGTGTGGCCATCCACCCTGGGGGGTGATTTCTCCCTTTCTGTCTGTCTTTCTGGTGAGCACATGCTCCCTAAAAGCCTCTCCAAAAAAAAAGAAAAAGAAAAGAAAAGAAAGAAAGAAAAGAAAGAAAGAAAGGAATGAACACAATGCGGAACATTCATAAATGGCAAGGGTTAGTCGCCATGGCGGGAGGGGGTTTGAGGGTGGAGGAATAAAGGCACAGCCATGGGCGAGGGACTTGCAAATTGCACTTGAACTTTATCCTGCTGGCAAAAAGAAGTCTTTAAAAGGGTTTTTAAGAGGGACCAGCAGGTGACTTAATGGATTCCCACATAGTCAACTCATGGTTCAAGTCGCAAGTCTTGGACTTGGTGGCTTAATACACGCAGGGCACTTGTGTGTGTGTGTGTGTGCGTGCATGTGCGTGAGCGCGTGCGCATGCCCAAAATCCCAAGAAGAGAATGGAAAAGAAGGAATTGCGCTGTGGCCATCTCCTGGGGTGGAAGTGGGGGTGGGTGGGTGGTTTCTTTCTTTCTGTCTCTCTGTCTAGTGCATGTGCCCTATAGCAAAAATCTCAAAAGAAAGAAAGAAAGAAGAAAGAAAATGACATGGTCAGGGAGGACTTGAATCAAGCTTCAGAAAGATCATTTCAATGTCCTTTCAGAAAATGAGGAAAGTAAGCTGGGAGGCAGAGAGGCTGAGGGGGCTTCAATTTGGGCCAGGCCAGGCCAGGCATTATACGGCCTGGGCATTGGAGAAGGCGGAGAGCGAGCACAAAACTGGAGGCAAGAAGGGGGTTCAGGTCGAAGCCTGGGAACCACCGACACTTAAGAACGGTCAGTGGAGAATAAACATCTTAAGAGAACAAGAAGAAATGGGCAGGGAAGGAAAACAGGAAGAACTGGGCCGTGGGAGCGCAGGGAAGAGAATGGTTCAAGAAGGAAAGGGTCAAGAGGATCAAGGCCATTAAGAAGTCAAGCTAGATACGGACTGAAGGTGCCCATGGTCGCCACCAGAAAGCAGGACTCCAGGGCAGTTCCAGGTGGGAAGGAAGGCCAGCTTGGCACAGGGTTATCCAGTCCGACTTGAGGCCCGAGTTTCCGATGGATCTCGTGGAGAAGTCCTTTAACTGTCAACAGCGTCTGTTTCGGGTCTCCTCCAAGCCCAACCACCTGATGCGCTGAACCATGTGACCTTCATGGCTAAAGGCACAGCTCCCTTCTTCGAAGAGCAGCAGTGGCATGTCAGGGTCCTGAGTCCCAGTCCAGTCCCTGCCACTTGTAAGAGGCCCTGGGCCTCTGTTTCTCCAGGAGTGATGGGTCCACATGACCTCTACATTGGCTCTTTTGCGCTGGACTACCCTAGCATTCAGGTTCAGTGGTCAGGTCTTCACGCCCTCTGACTAGGGTTCCCCTCACTGCCTCCACACAGGACTCTGGTTTCCTCCCTCCCTCCATCTCAAATGGCCCATTGTGCAAGTTCAGTTTCAATGGAGACAGAAAGTGAGCTGAGAAAAGGGGATATTTACTTATTCCATCAGGCCGATGATCAAGTAAATAGCGCAATCTCACAAGTGGAGCCTGCACCCTGCCCTCCTCCCACTGGGCACTGCCGGAGCATATAAGAAGGCACCCAGTGGGCACATCTCACACAAGACCACCTGCCGGATCCAGGGACCAAAGCCTCTCAGCCTCCAGACATGAAGCTCGCCACCACCTTTGCCCTGGTCCTGCTGGCTCTCTGCTGCAGCTCTGGTGAGTACCCAGAGTCCTTCCCCCCAAGACTGTACTCGGCAATGCTCAGTCACCCAGTTATGCTCAGGAGGGGTGAGATGCCCAGGCCCTCTCCAGAGCTGTCGGCCGAGCCTCAGCCAGAAACCAGGTCTGCTGAACAAGCCCATCTTAGAAAGCTGAGAGACTCCCAAGGCTTCTTGGAAGCCTGGACAGAATCCCATCTTCCTTCTCCAACAGCTTCAGAATTCCAGAGTGGGACAGGCTGGAGGGAGGGGCAGAGGAGCACCCACACAGTGAGCACACCTGGTGGTAAATGGATAGAAACATGAGCCCTTAAAGCCTAGACTGGGACCGACTCTGAGATGCTAAGACATCCTGATGTGACCACCAGGTCTGGGGTCGCCATCCCACTCTGGCAGCCCAAGGGACAGGAAGGGAAATGGCAGAGATTCATGTTCCCAAAAGAAACCCTACCCCAAAAAAGAGGAAAATTCCAGAAAGAGTTCTTCCCTTTGGGAAACTGCCAAGCCAGAGTGGAGTTTTCTAAACATTCTGTTCTCTGCAAAAAAGGACTAGGAGTCTCTGAGTAGTTGCTGCCATCACAAGGAGAAAGTAAACAGGAAAGAAAAAAGAAAAAAAAAGAGAGGGAGGAAAAGAAGGAGAAATGGAGGGATAGAGGGATAGAGAGATGGAGGGATGGAGAGACAGAGGGAAGAAGGAAGGAGGGAAGGAAGGGACAATCCACCCCTCTCCAACCCCCCTGCCTTTTGGAAAATGGGTTACCTGCTCTGTATTTCACTTTGCATCAGCTTCTTGCACTTTTCCACTCCCATCAGAAACTGTTGTTAGTATTTTAATAAACAAATGCCAATTAATTCACTTGGAAAGTTTCGTAATACTCATAGAGAATAGTTTTACAACCTTGACGAGTTAGAAACCCAAACCAAGAAGCAATGGGAACAGCTATTGGGTCATCGGGAAAGAGATGACGCATTTTTCCTTAGAAATGCACGTCATGACTTTTCCAAGGATATTTTGCAGAGAGGCTTATTTGTTTTTCAGGGGAAATGACATCATTTTGGACCGAAATGTGTATTAATTAGATTTTTTTGAGAGAGAGATTTTTTTATATGGGGGCGTTCTCTTGCCAGAGATGCAGAGAGAGACAGAGAGACAGAAAGCAAGAAATCACCCCCCAGGGAGGATGACCACACCACAATCCCATCTCCATTCTCCTCTTAGGATTTTGGGCATGCATGTACATGTGCCTGGCATGAGTTTTAAGCCACTAGGTCCAAGACTTGAACCACAGTTGACTACATGGGAGTCCAGCAATGTAACCATTACACCATCTGCTGACGCCGATCCCTGTATTAATTAGATTGTAATGTTCATGTAAAGGTGGGTAGCTCAACAAGACAGGACTAAAATACATTAATCTATGGATTGGCATTCATTTATTTATTTTTGTGTGTATACATACGATAAGAATATCTAGGTCAGCCAGTGGCATGGGGGTTAAGGCAGTAGGATCCCACATAGATGACTGCCTGGTTTGAGTCCTGGACCCACAGCTTGAAAAACATACAAGGTGCATGTGTCCACACCCCAAACTCTGGAGAGAAGAGAAGGCGTTGAGGTGTGGCCATCCCCCGGGGAGTACACGCTCTCTCTCTTTCCAGCAAGTACCTATGCCTTATAAAAAAAACAAAACACGGAAAAACCTACCTAATACTTAGCACTTTACAACATGCCTGACACCTTCCAGGACCATTTCCCTTTCGTACACTATCTCGTTCATTCTTACAACCACCCTATGGAGTAGGGTTATTGTTCTCATTTTGCAGATAAGAAGACGGAGCTATTGAAAGATGCAGAGACTTGCCTGATAACACAGCAAGCGGGGAAGTAGGCTCTGAGCTCTGGAGAGGGCTGGACTTGGAATGGCCACTTTGAGTAGGGCCCTAGAGCCGGAGCAGGGAAAATGAATTCACACAAGGCAGAGAATTCAAGGCCAGGGGATTTGCGACTCAGTGGGGAGATGGAGGCAAGCAGGGCCGAGACACGTGACTTAACACAGCTTCCTGGGGGCAGGGACCCGAGAAGGGAGCACAGTCTGAGGAGCACCCTGATGAAGGGATATGGTGAGATGAGGAGCTTCTCTGTGAGCTGAGAAAGCCACCAGAGCCCCGTGCTCAGGCACCTCTTCCAGGCCAGCTTGAAGGCCCAGGCTGCTGCAAGAGCTTCCTCCTGCCGGAGCCTGACTATGCCACGCATCCCCAGGGACTTGTGGTCAGACCATCACTAACCACTGGTGAGAGGCAAGATTCTAGTGGGGAACTAAAGCTCTCAGTGAACTCTTTCCAGGCTCTCTACTGCATTAAAAAATAATAATAATAATCAGATCAGCAGCTTCTATTATCAATACTCTGCCTACAATTCTACCAGAAAGAGTAAATGACACCTTGCCCCACTCCAACCCAGGAAGTCCAGGGAAGACTCAGGCACACCACAGAACGCTGACTCTAACCCAGAAAGTATTCGCGCAGTGCCAAACAGTTAACTGCCGGGAGCATCACCAGCTCGCGACGAAAAGGCCGCTATCTCTTGCTGACAGGCTTGGCTGTGTGCATCCGGGGCAGGCTCGGCCAGAGAGCCAGCCAGCTTGGAAAGGGGCCTGGACATGTGTGCTTTCTCTCTTCTGTCTTCCAGCTTCTGCAAAGGTCTGCCAGGTCTTTCTCCAAGTCATTGAAACCCTCTTCATGGGCACGGTCTCCAGTTACGAGGCTGCCACTCAGCCTTTCAGCCCTGATGAGGACATGATTAGTGCAGGGATCCAGCTGAAAAGGCTGGTGGACTCCCTTCCTCAGAAGAGCAAGGAGAGCATCATGAAGCTCACGGTAACTGGCGTCCCTCCCCTGCACTGTTAGATGTGGCTCCCTGAGAAATAATTCAGGCCCTTCTCATCTTAGTTCCTCCTGGGGCTTACTGTACAGCTTAGTTGTCCTTCACGTTTTCTGAATATTGTCATCTCGAACTGTGAGGTTCATTCACTTATGGTGTTGTATTTGCTTCTTTTTTTTTTTTTTCTTTGTTTCAGGAGAAAATAGTAACAAGCCCACCATGCATGTAAGATTTAGGAATCCGAAGTCCATCAGGTCTAGAAATCATAGACGCCTGACTGCTGAAGTCCCTGCCACTTTCCCATGCTTCCCTAACCCACCCCTACCAGCTGGCCTCGCTCTCTTCAATAAACGACAAGCATCTCACTTGTGACCCCCGCTTCTTCGTTATGCACCTGCTAGAGTGAAGAGGTCTGCCCCGTCAGGTTAAGACTGGCCTGGTACCCCAGGAGGAAACTCAGGACGCTTCCAAAGTGGCTTTCTTCTAGTTTCTATTACTTGCCCCCCACCAAGAGTGCAAAGCCCCTCCCCTTACATGCCTCAAATTCTGCTAGTCCAACAGAATTTCTGGACCCCTCCCGGGTCAGTTCCTAATCTCAGTGAGATCTGTCTCCATCCTCCCAGCTGGCTGCCTGGTCAAAAGCTAACCCATCCCCATTCACAGTAGTTACCTCTAGAATCATGCACTCTATGTCCACAGGCGACACCTCCTTTCTGGTCTGCACAACTCCAGCCCCCACCCCAGGCCTCCTAAGCTGCCTCCCAGCTAACTCTAATGCCCCAGCAGTGTCCACTCGCCACACCAGGGGCCCCAGGAATTTTTATCAAATTGAACCCTTTACACACCCACCCTCACCCTATCTTTCAAATCTCCCAGGGTTCTTATAAAATCCTAAACCCAGTGCTGGTCTGTCCCTGGCTCTCATCTCCACTCCCCCCACCCCCAGCTTCCTTTTACTCAGTGCACAAATACACCCGCACACAGCCCCTCTCCTGCCTTTGATTTTTTTAAAAAGCAAAGCTCAGGGTCTTTACAAGGGCCAAGCAGCGTCAACTCCTCAGAAAGTACTGGTAATTGATTTTTTTAATTGCTCGAAAGCAAAATGTGCAAACAAAACTTGACTTAAAAGATGCAACCCGTATTGGCATAAAAACCCCAAAACATCTGCTCCATGGCAGTCAGCCCCTGGCCGGGCCACACTATCCACAGTAGCTGAACAAACGTGGAGAGTGTGCAGAGTGGCTGCAGAGTAGCAGGAGCGTGGGCCCAGGGCACTTTAGGAGGACAGGGCAAGCACTTCAGGTATCCAACTGCTAGGGGGCAACGTGGTCCGCGGCGAGGGCGCCTGCCCCGCCCACAGTGCGCGCCGCGGCGTGGCCACCAGGGGGCAGTGTCGGCTGCGGTGTCAAGGGGCGGAAGTATTGGCCAGGCTCTGGGGCATATAAACCCTGCACACCACAGGCCCGGCTCTCCCTGCAACACGTTTGATGAAACATGGCTCTCTTCTGGGCGCTTCTGTCCTCTATGTGATTTTTTAAATTTGCCTTTTTAATTTTGGGGTTTTTTTACATCTTAATTCTGAGAAACAAAAAAAAAAAAAGGAAAAACAGGACAGTCGCTAAGCATTATTGCCACCCCTTTGCTCCTTGCCAGTAATGTGTCACCCCTTTTAAAATTAGCAATAATTCCATTCCCAAACTATTTCAAGGGAGAGTTAGACAGAACCTAGAACCTGAGAGATCAGAAGGTAAAGAGGACCGGAAGTTGGAGGAGTCAACCTTTGACCTCTCCCTGACTGGTTTTTAAAATCCCCAAAGCAAAAGCCACAAGCTAATAACCTTTATCAATTGCTTACTCACTGACAGGCATTTTCGCAATTGCTTAATTATTCCTCACACAACCCAGATTCCAGCAGCCGGGCCAGACTCCTGCCCTACACTGGAATCCCCAAAGCAGGAATCTCCAGAGCCAAATAAGCTAGGGGATCCTGATGAGGAAAGTCCACCCCTCCCCAAACACACACTTGTACAAACACTGTAAAGCCACCACCCCATCATTGTCTGCCACCAAGGAGAAACTCTGATTGTAAAAATTCCAGAGCAAGCTGGGGGACTGGCAATTCCAAAGGAGATTCTATGTCAGGGGTGGAGCTGGATGGGGGCCTCCTGTCTCTCCTCCTCTCCCACCCCCTAATGCTAAGGCCCCAGATTCTTCTGCATCATTAACGCCTATGCCTTTGCCTCCAGTGCACCATCGGCTAGGTGAGTATTGTCCAACAGATAAGGATCCAGAGCCATAAAAGGTTGAGAATTTTAATTACAGCTGGGGAAATATTTACCTAGGGCAAATACAACACAGCAGGACTGAGAATAAAAAAGGAAGTGCAATTATACAAGGAAGACCTGTTCTTAAGGGGGCTGGGGACCTAAGTGCAGGAATCACTAGGTGATGCGCAAGAATGTGAACTATGTTAATACACGCAAGTTGTAAAAGAATGTGAAGATGAACTGATTGAAACCACAGAAAGGGGTGGTATCTGTGTGATGCGTGTTGATGGAAAGCAGAAGGAAGTGGGCGAAATGAAGGCCCGTTCATCGGGTTCTCTTCTGTCTGCGTGTGGCCACTCAGCCATGAAGTACATGCAACACAGGCCGGCAAACGATGGCGGGCTGGCCGGACTCAGGCTGTGGCCTCTTTTGAATGAACCCCAAGCTAAGAATGGTTTTTACATTTGAAGAAGAAGGAAGAGGAGAGAAGGAGAAAAAGTTTGTCCACTCCTGTATGATCTAAATGTATAACTATATAAATCAGTCATTTTCACTATCAATACATCAAAGTCTAAACCACAGGGAAGCCAATATATAAATAGAAGTGTCCTGTTTTTTGGGTTTTCTTTTTATTTTTTTGGAGAGGTTTTTGTTTTTGTTTTTTGCTATAGGGCGCGTGCGCTCGCCAGAGAGAGAGAGACAGAGAGACAGAAAGCGAGAAATCACTCCCCAGGGGGTTGGCCACGCCGCAATCCCTTCTCCTCCATTCTCCTCTCAGGATCTTGGGCACGCACGCACACATGCCGGTGTGAGTTTTAAGCCACCAGGTCCGGGACGCAAACTGCGGTCGACTACGTGGGAGTCCAGTGACATAGCCATTACGCTAACTGCTGGTCCCAAAGTGTCCTGTTTTTGAGAGGTATTAAGCACAAACTATGAAGAAAGAAAACTTCAACAAACTAAAAAAAAAAAAAAAAAAGATTAAAAATAAGAACTGTATTTGCATATTATTAGTTTTAGCATTCATACCTCTTAGGACCCCAGGGAAGAGAAAGACTATGTCACTTGACCACATTGTCGAGGAGACTGTGAATCTAGGTGACAACTTTTTTTGAAACGTGTCTGTTACTGCACAATCTTTAACCAAAGAAATTCTGCTCTTGCAGGAAGCTAAGGAGGAATGGTAATTATCAAACATTGCCATCCCGCTGCAAAATCCAAGGACTTGTCCTTCACTTGCCAACGCATAGTCTGGATTAATTGATCCGTAAGAAAGTGGCAGTTTTATATGTGAGACGGTCAAGGTTAGCCTGGCATAAAATCTACATAAATGACTCACCAGGCAGGAAGAGGAAGCAAAACCAACCCTCATCAACTTTATCAAGATGATGTGCATAAAATCATGTCTAGTTTACAGCTGATGCAAGGCATGGTGCTTGCAAATACCAAGGGTTTGTGGGTAGTAATTCACCATAGGGTGATTGCCACCAAAAATGGCTTCCTAGAGATGATAAAGCAAGCCTGGATTGATGATGATGGGGCCACAAAAACAATGCACTCTGAAACATGTAATTAGGGGCCGTTCCTCCCAAGCGCTTGCAGAATACACCAACGGGCACATGGAGATAATGTGAGGATGAATCATCAGTAGTTAGCCACCAACATATTTCCATGAGCAAACTAAAATTATAAAACTATAGTATGTGCAAAAATAAAATCTGAAAATAGATTCAGCTAAGCAAACACAGTTGCTGGCTTTGGAATTGAAGATTCAAGGGTTTGGAACTCAGATGCAATCCCCATGAAGTGAATGGAGTCCCAGCCTGTCACGAATGTTTTATTAACCCACTAAATATCTGACGTTACATGCCCATAGCATCCAGCCACCCTGCGTGAACGCGAGGCTCAGACAACTACAGAGCTTCTTTGAGAATTCCCTCTTATACCCTGCATAGAAGTAGTTACCCCCTTACGTCCAGGATGGGATGGAGACATGGTCTGAGATTCCCTGAGAGAGGCGGGATAAGGAGCAGACCTCAGGGCCTCAGGGCAGAAAGAAGGGACTGGAGGAGTGGGGACTCTCCTGACCCTCTGACCTGAGGCATCCAGTCAGTCTCCGAGTCCATTTCAATTTATTTTGAATCTGTCTCCTTCTCTCTACCCTATTGCCAATATCAGGCCTTCCCCATCTAGGACCTGGCTACAGCGGACAGCCTCTGAATCAGTCCCTATGGCTGCTAAAACAAAGTTCCACAGACGTAACAGCTCAAAAGACACACAAATTCATTATCTGATGGTTCCAGAGGCCAGAAGTCGGACGTGAATCTCACTGGGCTAAAAACCAAGGTGTTGGCAGGCTGTATTCCGCCTGGAGGCCCCCAGGGAGAATCTGCTTCCTTGTTTTTCAGTTTCTAGAGGCCACCCGCATTCCTTGGCTCACAGCCCCTTCCCCTTTTCCCCCACAATTGCCAAAGATCAGTCATTCCGTGCTCTTGTTTCAAATCCTTCCTTGCTACCAGTCTCCTGTAGGGTACAGTCCAGTCTCCTCACCCAAGGAGGTGTTTAGAGACAGCCTTGCCTCTAGCTCTGGCCTCAAATCCTGCCACCACCCCCTCACACACACACACACCCTTTGCTTTGGGGGTGCAGCAGTAGATGGACTTGGAAATAAAGTCATCCTTCAGGTTAGGCTGGTCAAGGCACACCGAGGCGCACATTAATATTGAAACAGGCAACAAAGCCAAGCTGCTCGCACCTCCACACCTTTGCACAGGCAGCTCCTGCTGGCTGGAGTGCCTCCCCTTCCCCAAGTCTCCTGAAGAACCAAACTCCATCCTTCATAATCCATGCAACGCTCTGGACGTGCCCATACAAAAAACATAATTCATTATTTATCCACAATTCATATTTATCTGGGCATCTTGTATTTTTATTCCTGGCCACCTTAAGTTTCCGTCAGGTCTCAATTCTTGGGTTCTTCCTCCCTGATGTCCACACTCTGTCCCTCTTACCCCAAGGACCAGGAGTCCCCTCACTTTTAATCTGGGTTCTGCCCCATGAAGGCTTAATCTACACTTTTTTTCTCTTACTGCTCACTGTAGAA